CACATCGACACGCACTGACCCGCCGCGGCCGTTTCTGCTTGCGCCTTTTCCCCCGTCGTTCTTTCCTCAAAGGAGTTGACGCTGGATGCCCAATCGCGGCACACTCGTTGTTTTCTCGTCACACTCTGCCTGGGAACGTGACGTCACGTTGAAACGAATGTGATAAAGTGTCACGTTCCTCTGAGCATGGTGTCACATTCGTCGGAGTGTAAATATGCTAATTCGTGGATGATTTTCATCAAAATGAGTGCGGCTCAGTGTGAAAATAAACGTGGCTCAGTGTGAAAATGAGAGTGGCATTTTGTCACGTTCCTGGAATGAGAGTGCCTTTCCTCGACTTTTCATTCCGAAAGCCTCTCGGGAAACTCTTCTCGTCCTTGGTCGCGTCGCCGGGGCCGAGCCGCGGGCGGACCGTGACGGCGATGGCATGGCCTGGCCCGGCCCCGCTTCCATTCCCGACTCTCTGACGCGCGTCCTCTGTCTCTGTCCGGGTCGATTGGATTCCGGTGCAGTCGTTTTTCTCTTTCGATTCGGAACTAATTAAAAGTGCCGCTGGCCGAGTGGAGCGCGCGGGGTGGCGCGTGGCCCAGCCGGGCCGTGTCATCTTCGTCATCGCGGTGGAGAGCCGAGCCGAGGCGGAGTTGGCGGAAGGCCGTCAGGCCCGAGGGCATTTTTCTGTCAAAGATATTTCCTCCGTCCAATACCATTTTTATGCCAGTAACATTTCTCCCACCCAAGAGCATTTCTTCCCCCAAGAGCGAGCCCCAAACGGAATGAGCGGTGGCATGGGGCCTCTCCGACGGGCCGGGAGGCCGCGCCGCCCTGGACGGGGACCGCCACCGCACAGTGGATTTGCCATAAGACCGGTGGAGGCGGTCAGAACTCTAGATGCGTTTTGAGCTCCAGAGTTGCTAAATGGGACTTGAACTGAACGTGTGACCCCACCAATGGATTGCTCTCCGAACGAGGAATCCATTGGTGAGGGTCACACGTTCGGTTCGAGTCCTACTTTGCGACTCTGGAGCTCAAAACGTGTCCAGGATTTTGTCCGCCTCCACCGGACCCGCACTGTGCACCGGTGCACCGGCGCCACCTCCCCGATGGCCGATGCGCGCGGGAGGCGTCGGCCACGCTGCGGACGTCGCGGACGTCGCGGACACAGACGGCATCGCATTGCCGATCGGATGGGCGAGGCGGTGTGGCGCCGCGTTGAAATTCTAAACGCGCCGCCCGCTGCCGCCCGTCCTGTGCGTGTCGCCGTGTTGCATAATAGTGGCCGGGGACGCTCGCTGAATCCTCTCGGGGAGGACCCAACGACCCCGTTGATGGCACGGCCGGCCACTCGCACGCGGGGCCGCAAGGGGTGACCTGCACTGGTGGAACCGAAGCAGACTTTTACGCCTTTCTTCAAGCGTAGTAGGAGACCGGCAACCAGCAAGTCGCGCGCCTCTCTCTTTATTAGTCTCTGCCACATTTCCTCGTAGGAGGTTGGTTCGGAACATCGTCGTATCTCTCTCTCGCACCCATGGGGCGTTCCACACGCGTGCTAGAGAGAGCGCTGTGCTGGCGAGGCGTCCTGGAGGACGCAGGCGGCGCCAGGCCGGCAGCCTGGCTGGAGGCGTCACGCTGTGACATTTCCACCTGCGCGCCCGGCATGCCCGGCATGCCCTGCTCTCCAGCAGGACTCTCTCTTTGTGTCGCCCCCTCTCTTGCCAGGCCGCGCCGCCGCGCCGCCGCGCCATGCTGCTGCCGTCTCGGGCTGTAGCCTGGCCGCTCTGTCTCTCTCGCACCGCCACGGGACGCTGCACGAGTGCGAGGGGGACAGAGCGACGCAAGACCTAGTTTAAAACCTGCGAGCCGTTTCTTTGATGCGACTGCTCCTACCTTTTGTGCCCCCCCCCCCTCCCCCCCCCACGTGACTTTGTGTCGCGGCCAAGGTGCTGCCGTGGACTGTTTCCGAAGACGTTGGCGTCGCTCCGTCTCCCTCGCACTCACAGGGCGTCTCGTATGGGTGCGAGAGAGACAGAGCGACGGAAACCAATCTCGGCATCAGCCTGCAGGTGCGGATGCGGATGCCACCGATTCCCTGACGCGCCCTGCCTCGCGCCTTTGCCTGCGGGGGTCTCTACCGCGCCGCTGCGGCGTGGCTGCGTGCGCCGGGCTGGGCGTTGCCCGGGGCGGCCCACGTGGTGTGGCTCTCCAGCGCGGCGTGGGCGGGGGGTGGCGGGGAGGGGCGACTCATGACGCAAGCGCCCTGCGAGGGGCGCACCGCACCCCGCACCGCAGCCCGCAGCCGCTGGCAGCCACTGGCAGCCACCCCCTTCCTTCCCTCCTGCAACCATCGATTCGCCTATTGCGAACCAACCCTATACCCCTATGCTGCTCGTCTCCTCGCTCTCCGTGGCGTGGCGGGACCGTGACGCGGAAAGTGACGCGGACATGTCGCGGAAAGTGACGACGAAGTCGCCCGCTTTCCTGTCGCTTTGCAACACTCGAAGCCGGGGTGGCGACTTATGACAGTGTGCAGGGCGCCACAAAATACCAGTGCAGTAGGCCCAGGCCCTCGTGTCGTGGTCTGCGCCCCCCTCCCCCCCGGCTCCCCTTCGCCTGTTGAAAAATGGATCCTCCGTTCTCGTCCTCGTTGTGGCTCTTGCATGCTGCACAAGCCAAAGTGGCGTGGCGTCGGGGTGGTTTTGATTGCCCCCACCGCCCTCCTTCCCCCTCCCCGTTCCCTGCCCTTCACAAACGACTGACTGTTGAAAATAAACCGGAAAATGCCGGAAAGTGCGTTTTGAATAAGCCGCCCCGTCGGGACTTTACGGAAGCTTCGCTTTTCAAAAGGACTGTCTCCCGCCACAAAACGGCAAAAAAAATTGTAATTCTGGACAAAGTTTGGTTTCAATTCTTACCCTTGAATGTCGAGTGAAGTCGCCTTCCGCGGTCGTGGGGCGCTGGGCGCGGCCGCCGAGCAAGTTCTTTTCCGTGTCGTGACCGGCGGGCGAGGCGTTCGTGACGCGCTCGTGACGCGTTTGTGGCGACACAGCGACACGAAGGCCCTTGCAGCGCATCCATGATGCAAGGGCCTCGAAAGGGGCCTCGAAAGGGGCCCCGTACCCGTCGCGTCCACGTGTCGCGTGTCTCGTCGCGAGACTCTCGTTCCGTGTCGGCGATGCATTTTTCATTCGGCGCTGCCGGCGCTGCCCTTACCGGCCTCGTCGTCGTTCTCCCGAACCCTCTCCAGCGGGGCGGGGCGTGGAAGGCCACGCCCGGCCACGCCGGACGCGAGTTTGAATGACGTGTGGTGGCAGTTAAGTGGAGAGTGGAGCCTAGTCGGAGGGAAGTGACACACTGCAACTGTGAACTAAGGACGCCACCACCGCCGCGACAGAGCCTACCGGATACTGGTGCTGCCTAGCCACGTTCCCACCTTCAGGGCCTTCAGGGCCGCCTGCCACCGGCCGCTACCGCCTGCGAACGGCGGGGTAGGCAACACTGCAGCACTCGGCTGCGTCGCACCGCTCCGGTTGCCTACCCTCCGTTTGGCGGGCGCTCCAGACTGAATGAAAACGATGAAGAGACAGAGAGAGAGAGAGAGAGAGAGAGAGAGAGACATGGGAGCAAGCTGTTGTCGGCCCCCTCGTGAAGTGTAGCGCTGCGATGAACAGCCCGCCCTGCCCCGCCTGCTCCTATCAACTCAGTTTGGAAATTGGTCTATTGGAAGAGGCGGCGTTCGGTCTCGAGGGCGGGCCGCGCCACGCCGCGCCAGGCCGCGCGCGCTTCGTGTGCGCGTTTCAGTCCACGAGTTCGGCCCACTCTCCCGGCCCAACTCGATATTGCCGTTTCCACGGGCCGCTGTGATGTGCGTTGCGCGTTGCTAGGCTTCGCCCGGTCGGTCGGTGTTCTCTCTCCGTTCTCTCTCTCTCGGCAGCGGCAGGCGAAGCAGAAGGACAAAGGCTGGGCGAGATGGCGCTGCCGGTTTGTTGACTACGGCAGATTGCTTTTCCCGGGGAAGCAGGAGGTGCAACAAGCATACCCCCTGCCTCAAACAAACAAACACACAAACACACGCACAGAGAGAAAGAGAAGCGTTCGCGCGGTCCCCTTGCGTGTGATGGCCAAACCTTTGTGTGAGAGAGACGTTCAGTAGTGACTCACATCGACGCGGCCACGACACCCACGCCGGCTTGCCGACGGCTTGCTCATTGGCCGCATGACTCGGTCTGGGACGCGCTCGCCGCGCTGGTCCTGCCCCCCTCCGCCCCCACCCACGCCATGCACCAGGACGAATCGCGTTAGCCTGGCCAATTTGCCCGAGCCGCGCCTCGTGGTCTGTTTGTGTTTTGGACTCGTCCATGGGGAATGGAATGACTGATGGATTCGGCGGCTGGAGCGTACATAGTGCATTAAGAGGGGGGGGAGGGGCTCTCTCGGTGCAGCGCTGGATAACTTGGTTTGTGTTAAATTGTGTTGTGTGCTTGTGGGCGTCCCGACTCTCCCCTCCCCCCCCCCTCCCCTCCCCTCCCGAGGGCCCCCAGCCGGCTTGCCGAGGCTAGAGGCTCAAGTCTAGCCGCGCCAGGCGTGTGTGATTGATCTCACGACTGTGGGTCACTCGCCTCTCCCAAACCAATTTTGTTTTATTTTTGTCTCTCGTCTCCGTCCTCTGGACTTGATCAAGCCACTCAGTGAGCAGAAAATGAACCGCGCGAGCGGGAAAGAGAAAAAAGAGGCATCTTCGTTCTTACAGCCTTATTCGATCTCGCGCGGGGTATTGGGCGGGAAGGGGGGGGGGGCTGCTGGATTGAACTTGTCCATTTTTCGACCCGTTTGCTCGCTAGACTGTGGTACATTTCTTGCACCGCGCTCTAAACCAATGCAAAATGTTGAGTTTACGCTCTTTCCTTTTTGTGAAGCGCCTCAGGCAACCCAAGGACCGAATACCATCCACCCAACGGACACCCCTGAACGTTTGAGCTGATGGTCTTGTTTTGCCTTTGTTCCAGGCTGTGTTCCCTCACCCTGTCCAGGCTCGTGGTGCTGAAGCCCCTGGGACCTGACCTATCATCCCTCAGCATCGCGGTGAAGATGCAGGTAGGCGTCAAAGCGGAGGGTTCGTGGTGCCCTCGTGTGAAAAGTCTAAACTTAAACCTAAACTAAAGCAGCTAAAGCTTAGTTCTACGCTTGATTCAAGCACAGAACTACGCTTCAAGACCATACGCCCTTCTTCGAGCGTACAACCACGCTTCAGAGCAATCCCCCCTTGAATGAAACGACACTCAATTTCTTACAGTGAATTTGGCTGCAGTGTACGAAGAAATTCGTGCAAACATAATACGAACTAAATTTGTTTATATTACAAATATTATTGGCTTTTCTTTGCAAGCTACCAAGCGGAAAAGCTTCATATTACGAAGGAAAAGTGGCCCCCATAATATGTTTGCACAAAATTCTTTGTATTATAAAGAAATGGGGTTCTGAAGACTCTCAGATTGGAGCGCTTGATCTCTTGTACGCTTCAAGAAGGGCGTGGGGACTGACTGCGCGATTCACGAAAGGCGCCATGTTGCGCCTTCGTGCTGCCAGTGAAGTCCGTGACGAGGTTTGTGATGTGCACTGCGTGATACAGGGCCTCAAGCGCACGCTGCGCTCCAACGAGCTGGTGCTGCCGCCGCGCGGGCTGCTGGACACGGAGCTGCAGCTGCACTTCTCGCTGCAGTACCCGCACCTGCTGAAGCGCGGCGGCAACCAGCTGCACGTGAGCCTGCAGCGCCGCAAGCGCTACAAGAACCGCACCATCCTGGGCTACAAGACCCTCGCCGAGGGCGTGGTCAACATGTCGCAGGTAGGAAAATCGCGCACTCCAGCTCAAGTCGTGGGGAAAATCGCGCACGTCTTGCACGAGATCCGTTGCAAGTTTAACTGATTTGATCGTGTTTTGCTGGATGTTTCCATTTATGAGTAGGTTTTATTCCATGGCTATAGAGAAAAAATGTTTTTTTTTTTAATTTGAGGTTGTATTGTTAAATTATGGACCTCCCGATCTCGGGAATAAAGTATCAGGGTTAAACGCAATGTTTTGCTGGGGAGACGAAAATTGAGATGTAGTGTAAAATCTGTGATATGTCTGACGCGCTGGCTGCGCTTGCGTGTGCAGGTTCTCCAGAAGCAGTTGGACCTGGAGCTGGAGCTCTGCGGCGACTCCAAGGAGCCGAAAAGCCACCACAACGTGGTGGCCAGAGTGTCCGTGCTGGGGCTCAACTCGCAGCCCGTGGACCACGAGGACACCGCCAAAGTGAATCCCCACGATGTTTCTGGTGAGGGCAGATCGTGAATGGGCAACGAATGTGTTCTGTTTCCAGTTGCGGACCGGGACCCCGGAGATTGCTTCCCGCCGAAAACTGGGAGCGCGGACACCGCAGCCGATTGGCTGAAGCGAAGCGGTCGACCGTGTTCCTATGAGAGTGTTGGGCAGCGGGAGCTAGCGGAAGCCACTGTCGGGGTCCCGGTCTGTTCTGGGTCCATTCTGGGTCCATTCTGGGTCCATTCTGGGTCCATTCTGGGTCCACTCTGGGTCCACTCTGGGTCCACTCTGGGTCCACTCTGGGTCCACTCTGGGTCCACTCTGGGTCCTCTGGGTCCGTTCTGGGTCCGTTCTGGGCCCGTTCTGTCGAGTGCACTGTGTCACTGTGTCTGTCCAGATCGTGTGGGAGACTTCTCTGACGAGGATGAAGAGTTTAGTTCAAATGAAGATGGCGTGGAAGAGGCGGAGGGTTCGGACTCGGAGCCGATGCTGGAGGACAACGTGGGCCGGAGAGCACTGCAAAGGCAGCGACAAAGGCAAGCCGCCCGAGCAGGGGCGATACCCACCAACGCCAGAGTACGTATGGTGTAGAGGCAGTCACTTGTCACTTCCTGGCTGGAGGGAAGGCATTTGAGGCGCTAATTGTTCTGGGTTTCATTTTATTTTCAGCAACGCAATCTCAAGCAGAAATTTATTTCCCTATTGAAACGGTTTCGTGTTAGTGAAGATCTCCAAGGGCTGGATCATGATCAAGAGGAACTGGCAATGTCTCACAAATTATCAGGTGAAGCAATTTGGACACATTCTCCTCACTGTACTCATCCTTTGGATTGTGTTTGTGTTTTGTGCGTTAAAACAGATATAAGCGCTTATGGTGTAATGGCCACTCCACCATCAAGCCCTTTAATTCCAAGACTGAAATGCCAATACAATCAACATGATTCTAATTCTGATCACACTGTTTCTCCTCAACTCAATGTTGTCAGTCCTCAACGTGTGAGCCCCAAACATCGTTTCTGTAATTGGCCTCAAACAAGACTTAAAGCTCTGACCTATTTCCATCGAGAAAGTGATGATGCTGATGAATCTGAATGTTGAACTGTTCACTTGTAAAACAAATTTCAAAGACAACTATTGTGCAGCATCACTTGCCTGTAATTTAATCTGTGTATACATATTCCCCATGAAAACAAAGTGCAAAATAGAGACATGCTGCACTAAGTCTTATTTGTGTGTGCACTTTTCATTTCAGAAGGGTCTGGGTGTGAACCTGCCTGGAGCCGCCTGTAGTGCAGATCTTGGTGGTAGTAGCAATTTCAGAGTAAATCTTACTGCTCCAACCTTGGCTCCAACCTTTCTTTAAAAAAATAATTTCCTTGTTGGTGTTAACTTGTTATAGACTTTTGAAGTACAGTATACTCTGTTTTTAATACCAATAAAACTGCATACACAAATAAGCACTCAGTTCAATAGGTTGATTGCCAGTTATTTTTATTTCTTTGTTTTCTTTTCCCTCAGTTGTAAAACAAAACCGTCCATATTGATCCTTTCAATTATGTAATATTAAACAATAAAGAAAGTATATCTAAGCTTTAAAAAAAAAAAAAAATGAATCAGTATTTAATGTGAGTGTTCTAACTGTGAAGATAAAGGCACCAGGTAAGAATGGGATTCTTAGCAGTGCAGCATCCCAACTCTGCCTCCACATTAAGTGCCAGACCACTTAATACCCATGAACAGTTCATCCTTAGTGCTGAACTTTTCCAGTTGATTCCTTCCATGTCCCTTACTTAGTTTATTCCACCTTTGCTTTTTCAATTAAGTCCTCATTTGGAATACATTTATTCCCTTAGATTTTGTTTTAAGTTGTTATAAGGAACATATGGTACAGTTTCTAACAAAGCTCTCTGCTGATACAGGTTTTATTTGGGCTAGTCTTTGAGCATCTCTAATTTTATGTCCTAATCTTAATTAATAGAATTAGTGTTGTTGCTTTGATTTAAAGTGATAAAAGCAGACTTCCTTACACATTTGTGTCCTCTTATGATTTTAGCTGGTGGAATGGACGCCACTGAGTTCGAGGATCTCATGGAAGAGCTTGGAGAATTGTCGGGGTCTGACTCAGGACCTGAGGTGGACACACTGAGCATGTCCTCTACTCCCAAACCATCCCTGCGCCCATTTTTCTCTAGCAGCCGATCCCTAGTCCACGATACTCTAAATGTCCCAGGAACTGGTGAGTGTTCATTTTCTCCTACGTAGGGCTTTCCTGACTGCCATTAGAGTTGTTCTTTGTGTTCATATTTCATTCTTTCAGTGGAATTGGGATCTTGTGTTGTCCATAAATGCTTATTTGTGATCCTGAATTGTGTGTTGTCCTTGGGTTCTTTATCGTTTCCAAAACATGCTTTTGTTTGCTTGCTTTGGTGTGCCAAGTGGAACATGCTCGAAAAACATTCTTAATTCAAGTCGTTAGGTATATCTGTAGTTGAACTTAAACATGTCTTAACTGAGTTAGGAGAAACCTATCTAGCATGAAGCAACTCCAGGTTTCATTAAAGAAACAGTATTAAACGTAAACAATTTAAGTACCTTGCTGTGCTGGTAAAGTATCTGTTTGCTGTTTGGTAACAAAATTAGTACAGTACTGTTAAATGATAGCTTTCGGTGTTTTATTTTAGTTTTATTAGAAATAAACTTACTAGTTTGGTTTATTTTTATTTATTTATTTGCCATGTAAAATAACACTCCATTTCAGAGCAAGTAACAAAACTAACTGATTTGCTCGGATTTGCTTTTTGTGGAACATACGTGGCTGTGGTCTTGTCTTAAGTTTTGTTTTTTGTTTTTTGTTTTCAACTAACAAGTTCATGTATTTTCTTCATGGTTTATGTTGTATTCGAGGGTGTATCAGTTCTCAGCTTCTACATGCCTCCTTTCTCTATCCGTAGTATCACAATTTCACTGGCATTTCAAGTATAGACAACAAAGTCTCATCTTCGTTTCTATTGACCTAATGTCTTATTGAATTTTATCGAAGACAATCGCAAACAAAGCATGGTATCTGTGTGCAGGCTTGACCGAATCGCTGACCTCTGCTTCCCCTCATCCTCAGAAAACTATCTTTGAACGCAAAAAGTGGTCAATCAGCTCTGATTCCAGTACTGTCAAGCGATCACCCAAAAAGGCGGAAGAAACTGAACAGAATTTGCTTTCTTATGATGAGTGATAATGTAGCAATTTTTTTAAACTTTTGGTGGTCTGACTTTATTTGACATTTGTTTATCTAATTTTTAACTCTGTTGATGTCTAATGTGTCTACTATTTTCATTCATTAGAAACTAGTTTTAGAGAATGAGTACAGTTGTGATCGGTTGTGACCATAATTTTTTCAAAATCCTGTTTCAAGCATGTATAATACTCAAAGATTATCTGCACCTTTTTTTCAGCTAAACTGTTAGGGGTTTGAAATTGTCACGGCTATTCTTATGTGTGTGCATTTATTAAGCATTTTTAACATAGAATTCTGAAAAGTGGCATGTGGGTTATGTGAGTTAATCTGGTAGAAACGTATGCCAAGACTCACTCTTGAAGAAGGAGCTCAATGCAGGGAACAATTATTATAATTTGGCATGCATGTGGCTGCTCATCTTCTCAAACTGTCTTCTTGCCTCTTAAATTTTCCTATTCTTCTCGCTGAACTGTTTAAAGTAACTGTTGCGTCTTCTGAGACAATAACAAATATTTGCAAATTAATCTGTCAATAATGATCCATTGTAGTGTTGGCATTTATCAGCAAAGTATTTATTAATTGAGTAGGTTTCTCACTTAAGTTTAAGTAAAACTACTTCATCACAAGACTGATACAATTACAGTACCAGAAAGGTTAACTATGATGTAGAATTGAGGTAAAATCAACCCAGAAGTTGCTTAATGTTACGTTGATTACACTACTCTAAAAACATCTATGAAGATCATTGTCTGCTCAGTGCTGGTGTAATGCATGCATACATATGCTTGGCAAGCATGCAAGATTGCCTTTTTTGTGGTCTGTAACAGATTTGAATAAATTTAATGACATGTTTTTACTATTCAACTCCTCTTGTACTGCTGTGTGTAATCATAATTGTTATTGAATGTTCTTTGTTCTTTGACAGTTTTGTGATGGGTGCAATAATGCATTGATCTCACTCATAATTTATATTAAACAAAAAAACTCACACCTCCTTTTCATTTTTAAAATTGTTGCTGGTGAGGTGCCTGTGGCCTGAAAGTTCGTTCTCTTATCGAGCAAGTGCTGAAATATCTGCATTACATGAATCATAAGCTCTAAACATTAGGGTGGAATTGTGATAATTTTGTCATATCTTCCCATGAAGCCCCTGGGTGTTCTGGAAATTTTGATTTCTTGAAAGTAGAAGTGTGATTATATTGCATATGAAAACAAAGCCCTTCCAGATAACTTTTGCTTTTAATTTTTGTATACTAGTCAAATATATGCATACAGTATATACTTAAGTGCTGTCATAAAAAATCATTGAGCTTGTGTTCTAGTTTCTACGATTTTATCAAACTTTTATATTGTATCTTTGATCATAGCTATTAAATGAACAATGAACTGTACCGTGCTTTTATTTACTACCAAACATTTCTTGGGCATTGCTGTTCAGAGTTTTTTAAATAATTTGAGTTGCAAGTATCCTATTTGTTTTAATTTGTGGAAAAGCACTTTGAACTGATTCAAATTAGTTTATTGTTACTTTGCTTCTCTTCGTGTGTTTATTTGTATGTTTTGAAAATGTAGACCTTCTGTTGCCACCTTTTTTTTTTTTTTTTTTTGTTAGTCTGATCAGCTAGATTTTTATTTCTTGTTCTTACTATGGTCACACTATTTTGAGGTGAACAGGCTAGGAAATCTGAACTGCTCCAACACCATCAAAATTTGCAGAATTTTCTCATTTTCCTCATAGTATTTGTGCTTCTGATCTCTTGCTGTTTGAGGAACAGAGGATTTACAATATTGAAAGCAATGATATGTGGTTTGTTGGTAGTTTCTGTGTGCAAACAATGTATTAGATTGGTTGAATAGATTTTGTTGCACGTTGGCAGTAATGCTGCTTTGTGCTGTGCATATGCAGGCTCAGTCGCTGCTGCAGTAGTTCACCAGCCCAAACAGGTTGTGCCAACAGCAAGCTCTCCTACTGCAGGTGTCCAGACTGCCCAAGTGCCAGTGGTGGCAACAATACCTTTGCCTGCCTCGGGCCCAGGTGCGTCGTCCAGTCGCGTTTAAATTTGTCCCTTATTTGCAATGATGCTCCAACCATCAAATTGCTCTTTGTTTTATTCTTCCCTCTTCACTTCTGCCATTTCCTCTCACTAAGTCTATTCTTTGTCTTTCTATCCTATGTATTTCTTTAATTTTTTTAATGCCCTTTGTGCCAAGAATTTTGTGCCTTAATCAAACACCAGCTTCTTTTTTGAATTGAAATGCTGGAAGTCATAATACAATAAACGTACTTGTCATTTGCAACAATATATTTAAGTCTGGTTTTCCTCCCTTTTGAGTAAAATTATTCTCTTACCTCAGATGCCTTGTGCTGAGGACTCTACTTCTTTTTCTTCTTACAAATGTTTTGGCAATTAATTGGATACTACTGCTCACTTAACTCTTTTCTTCCATTTTAAGCGAGGAGGGCACAAGTCTTCCACATAATTTAACTATTGTGGCAACAATTAAGAAAGGAAAGCCACCTGCTTCATAAATTTTTTGATTCCATGTGAAAAACTGATGCTTGAAACTGCTTGCTTTGATTGTGATAGCTTCATGCATGTTTTTTTTCCCCCTTTTTTTTTTTTTTTAGGAATTTCTTTGTATCCAAAAAGAAAAGCTTTGCACTTGGTATTGTTTATAGTTTTTTCTCTCTTAGTTTCATTCTATGAGTGCTCATTATGTTTTCAGGCACTGCTGATATTAAACACGAATGACTTAATTCTAATTAGATTGCCAACAATTGTAGGGCGTTCTTCATTTCTTTTGCACACATCAATTATGACATTGATGGTTGTTTTAAACCAGTTGTCGCCCCCCTCTCCCCTTTCTTTTGGCCTGAAAATTCAGGGGTGGCAAATTTTTGAAAACCTTAAAATGGTTGTTTTTTCCTGTACTTTTAACCTTTGTTGAGGGTTGTATTCTGAGACACGCAGTACTTTGTTTTATTGTCCACCTTCCCTTCACTCTCTAAATTTTCTTTTCTATTTAAACGGTACTGTTGGAATAGATTGTTGTAAAACACATTTTAACGATGGCACCTTCTGAACTACAGAATCCCCTTGTATTAGACACCCTTGGCTTTCTGCCTATCTTTACTCTGTTGCTTTTTGCAGAAATTTTATTTTTTTTCTAAATTGAAATGAACTAGTGCACGTTCATTAATAGTTTCTCAGAGATTTATGAGACCTTTTCTTTGAGCTACCTCTTTCTCTAAATTTGTTTCCATTAAGTCATTAGTTACATTTTGTTGGAAAAATATTGTCAAGAGTTATATTAGCCCTTTCCTTTTTGTGTGCAGACAAATCTGGTGATCGTTTAAGTGATGAAAGTTCGAAAAAAGCGGATTCTGATTCTCATCCAGAAAATTGGACTGATCACGAAACTAGTGATCCCCCTCCCCCAACATCATCTCCTCCCAAACAAGTTAGTTTGTTTGTTTTTTTGTTGTTTTTTTTGGCGCTTGAATTCCTCTTGCTCTTTCTGTTCTTTCAATTTATATCTAATTTGTGCTTTCTAGGATGGAGAACGTGAAAGAGATCGCAAAAGTAAATTGTTTATGAGAGACCGTAATGCCAGTGCCTTGAAAACCAAGAAACAGCTTAGTGTTGTTAGTTTTGGAGAACATCAAACACGGTCTAATAATTCTAATAGCAATGCTTCGGGTGATATAACACCTAGTGAGGTGAGCATGCTTTTGATGATGCAAGAAAAAATGACGTCCATGTCAGATAGTTCTATAATGTGATTAATTTTGGTTGTGTTTTTCCTGGGTGTTTCTCACAGCCCCGAAAGGTGCTTCTGGAACAACTTTCTAAGATATTACCTGCTGATGATGTGCCACCAGATCATCTTATTCTTGTAAATGTGTCAGAAATGGGTGGAGCCAGCATAGCAAATCGACTGGCTGACTGGCAGCACAAGGTTGTTGGTACAGCTGGAATGGGGGATGTACGAGCTGCAGTTAGTTGCATTCTTGGAAAAATTCAGAAATTGTGAGTAATTTTCACTTTTTTGTTTGGTATTTTGTTATTGGGTGGTTTTTAATATCTAACATCATCTTTAAAAAATTTTGTAGCTGTAACTCTAGTTCAAGAGCACCAACTCCTTTAAGAGTATTGTTGATTGGTGGAGACTCATTTTTACATAGTGTACTAAGGTGTTATGTAGAGCAACTTTCATTCAAGCCACCTGAGTGGCAAAGTTATCTAAGGTTTCTCTCTGTTCCTCTTGGTAAGCATTTCATTTTTTGTTGGTTACTGGTTGTAAGCTTTGAAACTTATTGGGCTTGTTATTTGAGAGTTTTTATTTAATTGCCCAGGTGGGAGCTGGCTCGGAAGGTATTTGTGTTCTCTGGATGCAAATTATGCATCTGCATTTGGGGGCGATGCATGGCGAGAGGTTGTGGAGAGAGCCGAAAGAGGAGAACTTTGCAAAGCCGACTGGCAAGAGGTGGTGGGCCGAATATCACGATATCTGCATAATAATTTTGGTGCTTTATTGCATCTTCCTGTTGCTGAGGCCATGCTAACATATAAAAGGTTTGTAGCTTTTGGACTTCTTCTTTATGGCCAAAGAGAGTGTTTCTCAAGCAGTCTCTTTAATTGCTCTGGGACTTTTTCTCTTTTGTGGAAACCACTTAATTTAATTGTGTGATAGTAAATCAAGTTCTCATTATGAATTTTTTGTGTTTAGCTCTGATGAAGAATCTTCTCAAATATTCATTCCTTTTATGAATGTAAGCAAACTTTACTAGATATGAGATATAAGGTTATTATGGTATTTCTAATTATTTTAACCACTTGCGTTTTATCTTATCTGAATTTTAGGAAGTTCGCCTTGGTTCCCAAGAGCCAGTGTTATCTGCATCAGTAGACCTCGAAGAAAGTGCATCGTCTGTGATATCAGGTTCTCCACCTTCTCATCCACAGCTTGGGCCAGCTGGGTCTCCAGCTGGTCCTAACAACTACCAGATGTCTGTGATACCCAGTGATAGGAAAGGGGAACGTATAACTCCCCCATCTTCGCCCAATATCAATAGTATTTACATGGGACCTCCAAGGTATGAATCATGCTATAATTGTAAGCATTACTTCAATTTGAGTGGCTCTTTACTGTCATTAAGTTTCTGTTGTTTGTTTTCAGAGAAAGCCCACAGCCTGAACCTATGGAACTCCAGCTTGACTATTGGCTCTGCAGACCAGCAGACACTCCTCAGGGATCAGCTGGGAAGCCAACCAAACCTGATTCTGCCAAATCTACCCTCAAGACAGCGTTTCGATCACTGCAAGTTGCACGTGCTCCACCCTGTGGTGAATTCCCCCCATCATTTACTCCTCAACAAATTCAGCAACAGCATCAATGGCTTCAACAGCAGCACTTGTTTCTGAACTATTGCACCAAAGAGAAAAAACAAAAAAGTAAAGTACCAGTAATTCTTGTACCATTTTCTTCAATACTGACTTATGTGAAATTCATGTTGTTCATCTATCTTTATTTTACAGTAATGAGATTAGGGAAGAAAAAAGAAAAGGAGAGAGATAGCGAGACAGGAAAAAACCAGTCTGTGGATGGAGTGTCAAGACTCATATGTTCTCCAAAAATCCACAACATTCCTTTAAGAGGTTAGTTCAGAAGTATTTGTATGATTTGTAGGATTTGGAATCTTTCAACGACCTTCTTGATAAATGAGTTCTGTATTTTTCTCTTGTATTTTTTTGTTTACAGTGAGCATTGATGGTACCGAGTGGTCAGGTGTCAAGTTTTTCCAGTTGTCTGCTCAGTGGCCAACACACATAAAACACTTTCCATTAACCTTGCTTGGTTCAGTGTCTTTACCTACTGATACTTCTCCATTGTAGTTGGGCAACGATCAACAAACAAGACTAGATGGAATTTGGGTTAAATTTTTGTCTTCTAACACGGACATGAATCCCTCTCATGAATAAGTCTTTCTTTCTAAATCTTGAGCTGTGTGATATTGTTTTAAAGTATGTATTTGGTTCTGTTAGTTACGGGCAGATATCTGCTTGCCTAGTCAGCATTATTTCATAATTCATATCATTATCCTCTTTCCTTTTCTCCAAATGTAAGTGCATTATATTATTGTATGATATGGAATAATAATTCTGAAATGATGGGTTGAACTTATGGTAAAATATCTGTATTATCTTTAAGAGTTAGGTCTTAGCACAGAATGTGTGCTGCTTATATTGGCTGTGTATTGATTGCTTAGATTTTATCTTGCTTGTGATGAGAGTTGGATTTATATGCATCCATAATTGAAATGACTATGATTTTACAATTTATTAACAAAAGTGATTTTTTTTAAAAAGTTGTTTCTTTGTAAACGAAAAAAATATCTTCGAAGAATTTTTAACTGAAAAGAATGTAGAGTTGTACTGAGATTGGAGAAAAGAATAAGGAAATTGAGAGGATAATAGAAAAGGGGCATGCATTACAGTGACACGATAGAGTGTGATAATGTTCTCTTTTCTTTAACAATTCTGAGAGAGGAAAACGTTTGGGAAATATGGTATTTCCAATTTGTTTCTGTCTGAAGGTTTAGTCTTCCTGAGGTCTCTCATGATTTACTTTATCGTGTTTGTGAGTATGTGTGAATGCATTCTTTCGTGCTCAGAATAATTTATTTGCTCTCCTTCCTTTCAACTCCATAGTCTTTTCACCTCTCAGTCTTAGTTTTTTTTTATTGACTAAAGTAGCTCAGTATTGTGAATTTTCTTGCCCAATGTTGACTGCAAACATTATATAGACTGCAAGCATACAGTCCTAGTCATGTTTAGTCTCAGCAATTATATTAACTTTGCTGTTGACTGATGAATGTTTACTGTTGCTTGAATATTTCATTTCATCATGTGGACAACAATTTCTTTTTCTTTTGTGAACCAAAGATGACTTGTGTATGTATGAAGTATACCAGTTCAATTTCAAAATGTGTTGAAGTTAAGTTTTGCCCGAGTTTAAAGGAAATCGAGCATTATTATTTTAAACAGATATGACAATACATATATCCATTTTTGTGTTTTTTTTTTCTTCTTTTAGATTTTTGTTAGTTTATTGAGATTTGAACGTTTACCTTTTAAGTTACCAATTTCAATAGATTAAGTTGTAACTAAAATTCAATTTGCGTTTGTTTTGTTGGTGGTTTTTTTTTGCATTTTTTTTTTTTTGCTTTTTTTTGTTTTTACATGCCTGTAGCTTACTCATGATATAAAGAGAGTCAATTCCCCTCTACAGCTTCAGAATACATCTTTTTCTTAAATAAGATGACTTGTGCCAGACTGTTGTAAGTTAAACTTTGGACAATAATTGAGAAAGTTCTGTATCTCTCTATTACTTTGTGATTTATGTATAATTTATGATATTCATAGGATAATTATGTTTGTACTGACCTCAGAATTAATCTGCAATTCACTTTACATACACATCACTCAGTGGTATCATGTTGGTTTGATGCCTACAATATGATCTCTTGTGGCTCTGCTGTTTATTTTCATTTGTCTTAATTTATTTCATTATTCAAGTAATCTATTTCATGAAAATCCTAAGCTGTAATTTGGAAGAAGTAGGTATGGAAACGACAGTACTGCAGAGTATTGTAAACTCTATCCACAAATTTCAAAAATGTGTTCAGTAACTGAAATAAATCCTGCTTCATCATCCGAGCCAAGAAATCTCCATTCTCTTTGTAGTTGAAAGCAGAGACAATGAAATGAGTGAAGTTGTTGATTGCAAGTTAAGGCTGCTTTCTTAAACTGTTGATACAATTTGAGAATTCTATTGCACACTGTCATATACATTCCATTTTGCTGACTACAAGATGCAGCTCAAAACATTCTGCACTATTATATTTTGAAGAGCAGAACTTTACTAAAATATACTGATGCAATAGTGCCAGTTTTTTCTTTCGAGTTGCAAGGCCCCCTATTGTAGCCTTTATCTACCAAAAATGTACCGTGATAATGAACAGTTTCTGTTCATTCCAGCACTACTAAGGAATTAGTTTCTGTTGTTTGGAATGTACAACGTATTGTTACACAGCAATCGCTCAAAATGAGTCCAGGTCTGCTTTCATATCATTGATTTCTTCGTACCCCCTTCCCTTGCACTCCTGGGAAGACTGGTGTTTTTGTATCTAGACAGGTTACACTGTGAAAGGATTGCATGTGAATGAATCTCAACAATGAGAGCCTCCTTCAACTTTGTTGTAATACTTTTTTTAGAAATATTCTGGCTTTGGTGTGTAATTTTGATCTGCCGTCAGCTTCTCATTTAATAATAACTCTGAAATGCTCATGAATTTTAAAGAACTGATATAGTTGAGGGCGAGTGGAGCACTCATCCTATGCCTTGAGGTTCTGTGTGGCTATTGGTTTGCCCATACTTCTGTTAACATAAGTATACCAATCATTTGACAAAAAGAAAATTTTGGTCCAGAAATTAAACAATGAATGAACAAAAGTGTATTTTATCTTTATTGCCTCTTCTTTTCACATTTTTCAAGTAGCTGAGTCCATGGGGCCATGTTAGAGTCAGGATGGAACATAATCTAGTTACTTCAGACACTACAAAGTAAGCTTTTTTTCTTTTTCTTTTTGCATGTTTTTGTTTTTAGTAGAAAAAGATAATCCTGGGAATGAGGATAGGAAATTAATTTAAAGTGTCTTTCAATCGCTTTATTTAAAAGGATATTTTTTCTTATCGTAACATAAATAAATACTAGTGATCTACTTGTATATATATATATATATATAAAGTGTTACAAATAGCTGTATGATACATTTCCAATAAAACGTAGGTGGGACTATAAATCAGCGTGGTACGCATCTCTTATCACAAGCCCGGTGGACTTCCCTGTCAACCAAACAAGGCTGGAAATGTTCACCTTTTCTTGCTAGCTCATGACATTTTTTTAAAATCTAAGGTTCTATGTTTTTTACTAACAGGAATAAATTGAGGAATCTTTGGTAGAAAATTGTTAGGAATATCTCATGCCTAAGTGCAACTTACAATTGATCATGTGTCTTTCTTTGAATCTGTAATGCCGTTAATTAGTTAAGAAGGAAGACTTACATAGGAGTGGGGGAATAACTTAGCACTTCAGTGCAACGCTAGTTAAAGTTCTATTACCTTTGGCGAGTTTTATTTAATTCCTGCTGACATTTTGCACACATTTTCCAGATTCATCCTCGAGTGTAAGGCCTTGTATGGGTACAGAATGCTTTAACTTGGCAACTACAAAATCAATTCAAACATATCAAGAGACATCAGGTACAACCTCGTATTTCTAAACGTCCCTTCTGAATCACTAGAACATAACATGTATCAAGAAGTTAACGCACTGGGCGACAGCAGCAAACCTATCGGACACTAGCAAAAATAAAAGCTTAAAAAACATTAAAATTAGAAATATACAGTAACGAGAGCGGGCAGCGGGGCGCCCAGTGGTCCAACAACGCCATGCTCCACGCGGAACGGCGAGGCGATAAAGTATATCTCATTAATTTAAAACAATCAGAAACTTGACTTTCGCGACACTGGGAGACGAACCAGCATCTAGAGCAGCCACCCTGCGGGCTACGTCGCTGCGTCGCAGCTGTGTCCTATCTATTCTAAGCGACAGAGTTCACATAGAAAATATTGAGGCACGATTTCTCATCAGTCTTATTTCCACAATGGAGATTCCCAGTTAACTATCATCTACCTTACATCTAGCTCTGCGAGGTGAGGGTGGAGGCGGCGGAGTGCTGCGTGCGTTTGGCGATACCGGTTTGGTTGCTTCGGTTCGAGGGTCTTGGCGTCGTCGCGTCCCCGCGTCGTGTCGTCACGTCGTCACGGCAGCACCCAGTGTCCGGCCGCTCTCGTCCCTCTCGTCCCGTCACTCGCACACCGCGCTCGGGCACTAGCACAGCCCACTCGCTATCTTTGTACACTTGGCTTCACTTACACTAAGTACACTTTTTACACTTGGCTGCCGGTGCTAGTCGTCGCTCCACGCCCGACGCAGGTCATTCTGAAACAGAAGAAACGCAGTTCGGGAACGCCGAGCAGGCGAGCAGGATCAGCAGGACGACAGGCCCCCCATGTCCGTCGCATGTACGCCACAAAACAAAGACTTGTGTCAGGACGCCCAATAAAACCGTAGCTACGCGTAACGGGGTTCATGACGGCTCTGGGTAGGTAAGAGGAACAGGCTGCCAATGGTCAATGGCGCATTTTGGCGGTCTTAAAGTGACTTTTCCCGGATAAGCGCCTTAGCACAACATTTTGGTATTTTTCAAATATCTGGGCTGAAACGGTAACAATCCTTCTTCGCATTTGTCGATGGGAATTCTTGAGGCCTTTTTGAGCTCCAGAATAACTAAATGGGACTAGAATTACCCCCCCTCCCCCCTCAACCGTGCCTGTGGTGGGGTCACACGGGTCACACGTTCGGTTTGAGTACTGCTCTGGAGCTCAAAAACGCCTCTCGAATTTGCGAGCGTGCGTGCATTGGGGCGTGCATATTGACCATCGTCGTCTTCGCCGTCGTCCTCGTCCGCGCCGTTCTCGTCGTAGTCGTTGTCGAAGTCGTCCGAGTTGGCGTTGTGGCTGTTGCTGGTGCCGTGGTGGTGGTTCGACTGCGACTGGCGGTAGGTCGGCGAGGCGGCGGTGGGGATGGCGGCGACCAGGTCCTGGTTAACGTTAGTCAAGCCGAGAGTAGTGTTAGCCCGAAACCAGGGGAGGGGACTAGGAGACTCTTGGGGTAAGCAGCACACCACACAAGGGAGCACATCTCACTCACAAGTCCACTCTTTACGATTTCCGTTGTCAACTTCCTTCTTTAACTTAGCATAGTGTTCTAGTTTTAACAAGATCCGGGAATCGAGCCAACGATAAAATGATAAAAATGTTCCAACTGGAGCTTGTGGCAGGAACGAGTGGGCGTGCAAACGTGAGCTTACCGTGGGCGGTCTCCAGCCGCAGCCGGCCAGCGGCAGCCCGTCCTCTCCGATGGGGCAGGGCGCGTCCAGCCCAGGCACGCCCTGCGCGCCCTTGTCGCCTTTGTCGCCCTTGCGGCCGCGCTTGCCCGGCGGGCCCTGCAAGGGGTCGAACACGCGTCAGCACTCACAGCGCGCAGCCATGGCGCAGCCTGCAGCTACCCCGCGCTAAGGAGACTCCCCAAAGTGGCCTCGTCGATACTCCACGCGCCAGGGACCGGCCACGGCCACGGCCAGGTTCGCGCGCACGGCATTCCAAAGTCACTGCGGCACGGCGTGTCGTCGGGGGGCAGCCTCCTCGCGCGGGGTATGGACAGGCTGCATTGTTGTTGTCTTTTCTTTTGCCGCATTTCAAGGATAGTTTGTTTCAAAAACGAGAAAAGGAGCTTACCGACTCTCCCATGGCACCCTTCTCGCCCTTGGGACCCTGCGGAAAAGCAATCCCCGATGACGTCACATGGCAGTGTACTTTCATGTCCAGCGCAGCGCATGGCCCAAACACGGCAGGCTGAATACTGGTTTCGTCACTGTCTCTCTCGCACTCATGGGGCCTCTCGTGGGAGTGCGAGAGAGAGAGAGAGAGTGCCGAATGGAAGCCCAGCCGCGTTTGGCTCATGCACGCCCGCGGGAAGCAGCCGTGCACGGCAATTCGGCTCTCAATCATTCAATGCAGAGTCTTGTCTGCTTTTCAAAGCTCTCATATTCATCTCTGATGCATGGCTTTCTAGTTGAGACTTTATTCATGACACCGCGCCGATGGATGCACAGGGGCCACATGAGTATTGGTTAAAAAATCCCACCAAAAATCAACGTCCTTACCAAACTGTACTCACTCGGGGAATGCGAGTGGCGTGATCAAAGGTTTTAGAGACAGCTCACGAATACCTTACGACTTGCCGGCCCATTTCGAGTCGAACAGTTCCTCGGGACTTTTGAGCATGCCTCGCACCCCACCCATTTTGAGACTCAGTTGTAAGGACTGACAAAACAAACTGGTTAGCGGCGTTACCTCTTGGCCGGGGATTCCGTCCGTGCCCTGGTGGCGACACAAAAAGCAACAAGTTAGACAACACAAGCGAGGCTGGTGAACAGGGCAAGGGGGAGGCCACACGTGGGAAGGGTCCAAACTCACGACCGTCATCACTCAAAATGGTCGACCACTCCGAACCACGTGGACTACGTACCGGCAGTCCTGGTTCTCCCCGCTCGCCCTTGCTGCCCGGCTCGCCCTGGCCGCCCTGCGTACGAAATGCGGTAAGAGTCTTTGCATAGAGAGGGCGTGAGTAATTCAGGGGTATTGAAATGAATTTACGAGGGGGCAATCATGCGCAAGCCGTGTTCATTGTTAGCGACAATGTAAGCCGTAGGTACGCGGTCGAGCTCCGTTAGGAAACAGGTTTACTTCAAAACGTACCTTCATCCCGTCAAGACCCGGCTGCCCCTGAATAACGTAAAAGAAAAGAGATAAAAAAAAGATAAAAAAAAGTCAACGAAATCTTATTATGAACCTGTCACAACACATGATAGAATGACGTCATTAAATGGCAACAGCTTTGGTGGCGGCATTGGGGAAATTCAACAGGGTAGGTTCAGGGTATGCGGGGGAAAAGAAGATGGCTTTCATGTTGGTAGTTTCACGCCGTGCGTAAGTTAGTCCCACACAACATGCGCGGTGTTTTAAACTCCACACACACTAGGACAGCATTTCAGTGTTGGCTAACGCGCTTTCATTGGGTTTGGGGACTACTTTTAACTACGTAAGAATTTTTCAGCGTATTACCGCAAAGTAAAATTATCGATCACTTATACCCTAAAAAGAGAGGACCCTTCCCTAAGGGAACGAGTTTAAGGAAGAGGAAGAGACTTTTGCCCTTACTGCTAATACTTCTATTATAAAAATATTTCAGAAAATTAAATTGTCACATTTTTCAGTTTACAATGACATTAATGCACTCGCAATTTTGTATACCTTCTGGACGCTCCTAGGCAGCATTTTCTTTACCATGCCTCGTGAATAAAAGTTAATTTACGTGGGAATTAGATGTGTTAGTGCAACCCTTCACCGTAAAGGGTGCAGAAGGAGCTAACTAGTTGAAAGCGAGATACCGCACTAACCATAGGAGTTCTTTCTCTTTCGATTGCAGCCAACTCAGGATGCGCTTGAGCTCAATTAATCAGCGACTAGGTGGGCTGCAACATGGTCCCTATTTTATTATGGCAGTCATGCATCGTGTCTCGTAGAAACGGTAGTCATCGTGATGTCCGAGTAGATTTTGTGTCAGGTGGGACGGGTTAAACGTGGGTGACAAGCTACATTTAGCAACACACTGCTCCAAGCTCTGTGACCTTCATGCACACACACATTTATTTTTCGAAATATCTTATCTTACACACCACGACATTACCAAAAAAAAAAAAGAAACAAAAAAAAACATACAGTAGAGCAGTGCTAATTATAACACTGCCCGAGGTAAACAATAATACTTAGGTTAGCAAAATGTCATAGATGGTATCACATTAGTTAACAAAGAAATCTGCAAGAGGGTTTCCCGATTACAACATTCTTTTCAGGAAGAGGGGTTCAGATAGGGAGATGCGACAGAGAGTGTTAGTACTGCGGTGTGGTTCGGCAAGACACTGGTCGGAAATGTAAAATGGGCAGCATTCGGAAAAACAACATGGGCACAATATTACAAGAGAGTAACTACGGGAATACAGATAAGAGGATACAAAGAGGAATGTAGATATGGAAATGAAAGTGATTCTCTTAAAATTAATCTTACGACCTAACGATTTGATCCGGCTTGTACACTTTATACAACGACATAAAAAAGGCCTCCTTTTTGTCTCACTATCAGGGGGCATTTTCAAACTAGACAACATATAAATACAGGATGAGTATATTTTACAGCCAAGTATACGAGAAGTGACTTCTGCCCGAGCCCATGCACAACGCGACCAGGGGCTCGAGGCGCTCCAGCCGCCCCACTGCAACGGGGACGGGCCCGCCAGGCCCGCCACCTGACTAAGGACTATGTTAAGTACACTGCATTACATGTACGCGTCATGGAGGGGCTCAAAATTTTGGCACGATTCAACAGCAGATGCACCCAGGAATTCTATATATAGTTTTTATCTCTCTTTCTCTTGATCACTCAATCACTCTCTCTCACTCAAACGCTCACGCATACATACATTTCCGGACTTTCCCTCTGCTCTACTTTTGTAACACGCGTTGTAATGCAACTTCAATCATATTAAAGATACACGTTTAAACCCCAGACGGATGTCTTCGCTGAGATTTAGTTAAAAAATTGGCGCGTTGTTGTGTGGTATTTCCCACCATACAGCTAATCTATGACACGAGCACTTGAAAATGGTAAAAAATAAATACATTACTTCTCTTGCGGACCAGCTTAGCGACTGCTGGGCTTTCACTTTGGTGTAACTCCTAGACAACAAAACAGTCCACGGCCATTGTATGACCGGACAGGTCTATCCCCTCTATCTATACAAAATGAAATTAGCTTTCAACAACTGTACATGAACTACACATTTGGATAAATACAATATTTGTACGCTGAACGGTAAGGCGAAGCAAAGTGATCCCTGCGTAACTCAGTCCGAAAATTAGGGGGGAAAGGCATGTCTGCCGCTATGCAACAGCGAAAACCTTAACACTAGAGACACAGTAGCTGCACATTCATTCATTCACCCTCGTCACACACAACGAGGGCCGGTGACCGCGCGGCCTCCCCACGTAACAGGCGACTGCCGGCGAGGGTGGCGGCGGTCACCGCGCCCTCCTTGCCCTTTCCATCTTACAATTTACATAAAATGTTCACACCTCCTCACTAACAAATTAGAGAGTCTCTCTTCGGACGGCAATGCCCCTTCTCTCGGCTCTGGGCCCCAGGCCCTAGGCCCCAGGCCCGCTACAGTGTACCAGCCTCACGCGCAACAAGCGGCAACGAGCCTGCGGCCGACCGGCTCGCTGTCAGTGTCGGCCTGTCGGCTCACACCACGGGTCTTACCATCGGGCCGGGCTTTCCTGGATCGCCCGGTCGGCCCTGCTCGCCCCGCAAGCCCATGGGCCCCTGCAAGACAGAGGCAGTGGTCAGACAGAGAGCGAGGGGCAGTCTGGAAGCTGCCGAGTGCTCAAAGTGGACGCGAATGCGACTCCCCACACAAAGGCTGCCAATCTGTGACTCGTTTTTCTGCCGATCAGGGCACTTGTTTTCGGGATAGGAGTCGCTCCGGTCGACGTAAAAAGATTCACGTGCGCATCGTCGTAAAATCCACACGCCTGTTTTTAGTGCGACCTAAAACACTGTGAGCTGGACACGAGCGTGCTCTGTCCCGAGCGGGACGGTAGTAATACGAATGTCGTCTTTGGAGGGAAACGGAACTTCGGAAAAGATGGTTAAAAGTTAGAGATCAAAGTCTCGGCAGCAAAGACAGGAAGGAACTCAAAGCTCCTCGCGAGAGAAGTGACAATTCAGTGAGGTCTGCATCTTCCACTGTGAGCACTCTTCAAAAGCGACGCAGCGGCACTTACCGGCAGTCCCATCGGGCCCGGGTCTCCCTTGTTGCCCTTTTCGCCCTGCAACAAACGAGTCCATGAATGTGTGCGGGGCCCACCTCACCGCCCTACGCACAGTGGATTTGCCACAAGAACGGTGGAGGTGGCCAAAGTTCTCGACAAGTTTTAGCTCCAGAGTCGCTAAACACGACTCGCAACGAGCGTGTGACCCCCACCAACAGATTCCTCGTTCAGAGAGCAATCCATTGGTGGGGCCACACGCTCGGTTGAGTCTTGTCTAGCGACTGAGGAGCTCAAAACTCGTTTAGAATTTTGGTCGCTTCCATCGGCCTAGAGGCAAATCCACTGCGCTACGCCCCGCGGCCGTGCCGTCTAGTTACCATGTCTCCCTTGAAGCCGTCCATGCCCCTGTCGCCCTTGATGCCGGGCGGGCCCTGCAGCCCGGGCACGCCGTTGGCGCCTGGCGGCCCTGGGGGTCCCATCACCTGCAACAGGCACGCCGTCAGCAACGCCGTCAGCAACGCGGCACGCGACGCGCTAGACAGAGACGGCATGCTATCCAACCGCGGCACCGCGCCCGTTGGAAGGCACACTTACAACACTTACGAATTCGCTGCCGCCCGTCTCGAAGGTCCCGTCGCCCTGCAACAAGACGGAGAGTCACGACACTGGCCGGACGCGCTGGCCGCGCGCGAGCGCATGCGCAAGATGCACGCGTGCGAGAGAGAGAACAAGATGCCCTTACCTGTCGCCGCCTGATCTTTTTGTACTTCTGCGGGGAGAGACGAAGGCGGTCGCCGAGGAAACAGACAAAATGCAACACAATGATTAGCATGCGGTCGAGACAAGACGTTCGGTTCGGTCGTGCAGCCGAGACAAGTGCAAGCCAGTTCGTGTGCACTCCCATCCAGCCAATGGACGGTTTTCTCTATATTTGACTATAGTATTATCATAGTTACCACACGCTTAAAGTCGCATTATGTTATGCTAAGGTCAAATTAACTGTATCCTGGCTCGATGGGATTTCATCAAGAGCCTTTGATTGAGCATAAAATACCAAGTCAAAAAAGCCAAATGTAGAGGAAACTGCCAACTTGCTGGATGCGAGTGTATGTCAGTCAAAAATGACCCCCCCCCGTCATCTCCACGGTCAACCCCTCAGAGAGTGGTTGTGTTTGCAGACGCGCAGTAGCGACGACGCGAGCCACAGCCAGGGGTAGCGCCAGACAAGGCGCCCGACGCCCGAGTGCAAAGCGGTTGAGTGCCCGGAGCGTTCCATGCCCTGGTCGCCAACCCAAGTGCCAGCCTCAACACACTCCGCATTCACTGCCTGAAATGGATGCCAAACTTACTCTAGCCACCCGCGACGGGAGCTAAAACAAATGAACCACCCATCAGAGGGAGCTTCTGCTTACACTCAAAGCGAATGACACGCTTGGTTTGAGATAAAAAGAAGATGGCTAATATAAACAGTCACGCAGACGCCAAAACAAATGTTTCCTTACCGACTCTCCCTTTTCACCCTTGTCTCCTTTGACACCCGGATAGCCCTGAAACCGAGAACAGAGGCACAGTCACTTTTGGAAGGAAGAGAAAAACATTCCGCAGTCAAAATAGTCCACGGAACATCTGCTCGATAACTACGAGGGAAATGAACGCATTGTAGAGTTTCTTTGTAAGAAATGCCTCGTATGACAAAGGGACTCTTCTAGGCATTTATTGGTAAATTGCACAAGGCCCCCGATTCCTCCAAAGACGTTTCACAGGCCGCGTACTTACCGGCGGTCCGGGCAGGCCTGGCGGTCCCATCAGGCCGGGGTGGCCGATGTCTCCGTACTCGCCCTTCTCTCCCTTGGGTCCCGACATGCCCTGCAACGAGAAGCACCTTCAAGTAACTGCAAACCAAGAACGCCACACTGGGATTTGCAGTCTCCGCACTTGGGAGTGCAGAGTTTGCAGCCTCCACACGCCAAGTGAGTGGCTCTCTACGTAGTGTGGGGGCTTTGTGTGCTACTCCACTCTTGAAGTGTGGAGCGACTTCAAACTCCACACGTGTAGAGAGGGAACGACTCCGCACTAGAAAGTTCGGCGTTCTCCACGGCTTGACAGAGTGAGCAGCCCGTAATGGGAATGGTAATGGCGGGTAGGCCGTCCGGCCGCAGCGCGCGCACGCAAGCGAGGCGGGTGGCCTAGGCCGCGCTCTGCAGGCGCCGTGCTGGCCATGCAGGCCCTCGACTTACCGGCAGTCCTGGAGGTCCCTGCGGCCCGGTGGCGCCGTTCTGACCGTCCTCGCCCGGAGGTCCCATCAGGCCCATGTCGCCCTTGCCACCTGCGGAGCACACGGACACATTAGCACGCTCCAAGTTCTGCTCACTCATTGCGCGCGGCGGTCCCCCTTCCCCCCCCTTCCTCACTGCCTCTCGCTCCCCCTTTCTCTCCCCCTCGCTCTCCCTCTGCTGCTTGGAATCGCTCTGCAGGGGCACGACGAGTACCTCGTTTCGTGAACATTCTTCCCCTTCCACGAAAACCATCAAGTATGTGAAACACAATGAGCCAGGGATCCAGAAAAAAGTGAAAGAATTGGGAATGTCGTAGGGACCTGGGTGACACGGCACAGCCGAGCGGCGCATGCCGGTCGAAAGCAGCCGGGAATATCCAGAGGAATGTCGACTTCGTTCCATTTTTGCAGTATCGGTGCACAGAAAAACCAAAACTCCCGATTGGTGTCCGCTGTTTTACGGAATTACCGGGGTTCACCCTCGCAACCCGGCAGTGGGGCTAAGGGTTGACTAGCGGAACGCATTCTTCAGGCCGACGTCATAGCAATTGCCTTCAGTTACAGCCGACGAAATTTGTCGAGCGAGAATGGATCGCTGACGCGACGGCACCTCGGCACGGCGAGTGCAACTCTCGAAACCGCGAATCGGTTTCGGAGACTTGCTCCGCCGCCCACAGAGGGCCGGTTGAGGCGGCCAAAACTCTGGACGCGGCTTGAGCTCCAGACTCGCTTAACAGGACTCCAACCAAACGCGTGGCCCCACCAATGGATTCCTCATCCCGAGAGGTTTGGGGACACGTTCGTTTTGAGTGCCATTCAGCGACTCTGGGGCTCAAACCGCGTCTAGAATTTTGAAAGGCCTCCACTGGTCTTCTGGCAAATCCACTGCGCCGCGTGGTGCCGCGTGGTGCCGCGCCAGGCCGGGCTGGTCTTCCTTACCTGGCAGCCCGATGTCGCCCTTGTCGCCGCGCTCGCCGCGCAGGCCGCCCTCGCCCGGCTCGCCCTTCTGGCCGGGCAGGCCGGGCAGCCCGCGCTCCACCGCCGTGCCGGGGTCGCCTTTCCTGCCCTGGATGGTGTGCAGCGGGTCGAGTCAGTCGGCCGTGCCGCCACCGCGCCGTGGCGCCACACCGCGCCACACACACCATGCACCCGTGTCGAAAGGGTTCTCGCCAGCAATGTCTGCACGCTCAAGTTGGCAACTCTTTCGACTCGGGTGCATCGTGGACATTATGGCCTGCTTGTGTGGCAACACTGACGCTACGCCGCGCCAGCGATAGCAGTTCATTTGGCTAACGCGCCACACTGCGAACGGCGGGCGTGCCGCTGGCGTGCAGCTGGCGGGGCGGCGACACGCCGTTAGTACGATGGTTAGTCGGGTTAGAAGCGACGCGCATGCACTACGGCACGGCCGGCCGAGGCTGGATTGGTTGAAAGCAACAGCGCGGTGCACCCGCAATGAACTCGTCATGTCCCAGAGATGCCCTCGCTGCGATCGAGACCTCGCAATGAAAATACGCTGTGCTCAAGACCACCGACAAGAGGTTCTCCGAGGACAGGAACTAATATTTTCTTGGTGCTTTCCGCCGTGCAGAGCCACTGCCTGCGCCTTCTTCCCAATTCAGACTCAGCCAAGCCATTTGCAGACTTACCGACGCCATCGAGGCCCCGCGGAGAAACACAGCCAGTTAGTCTACTCAGCCACCACCGCTACGCAAGCGTTTCTTCCAACTACACCAGAGTTAAACAAACAGCAAAGAAGAGCCGATAAGGAGAGCGCTTCTGAATGACACGGCGGCACATCAAACACGTTGCATCGCGAACTGCCTCCGGGAAAAGCACGACGGAACGTTTCGTGTCTTCACCGTGTATCAGTGTTAGTTGTGTTAGGGGTTGGAAGCAGGGCGTATCAAGAGGTACGGAGGTGAAGCAGGCCAGGGAAGCAGAGTGGGATTAGTTGAAGGAAGTGCTACCACCAAAAATGTTACCATTGCACTACAAAACAACAAGTACTACTGTTACAGCAGGTGTTAATAAAGTAAGGCACACGGAGAAACAGCAAACAAAGTATACACATACACACACGCACACACGAACGTTAGAATTCAAAGCCATGTATCAGGAGGAACAAAAGAAGCCAAATTGTTAAAAAGGAGTGTTAGTCGCAACAATAATTTTTGTTCACTTCAATTTTTCATAGAGAGAAAGTGATCAAATTTTAAATCCAAGAAAAGTGAGACTCCTGTCGTATTTTAAAATATTTTTTTAAATTATTGCGTAAATGTAATTGATTGATTTCGATACTTTTGAAATTAATGAATAGATTTAATTGATTGATTATTGTCCTTACCCGTTTGCCGCGCTTTCCCCTCTCGCCGACCTCCCCCTTGGGGCCCTCGGGGCCCGTCGGCCCCGAGTCGCCCTTGTCTCCGCGGCCCCCCTCCGGACCTGTCGCACAACAACGCTACTTCACACACTACTCTACTGGAAACAATGATTACAGCTGGCATGCACACCCTAAACGGTCGAAACGCCGGTCCACACCGCCACAAATTGGGCCAGAGGACCGGTGGAGGGGACAAAAATTCTAGACGCATTTTGTGCTCCAGAGTCGCTGAACAGGAATCGAACCGACATTGTGACCTCCATGGATTGCTCTCCGAAAGAGGGATCCATTGGTGGGGTCACACGCTCGATTCTAGTCCTGTTTAGCGACTCTGCAGCTCAAAATGCGTCTAGAATTTCGGCCGCCTGCACCGGTATTCTGTCCCGTAGTGCGCCACTCAGAGAAAAGCTGAATGAAACCGATTAAAAACTTGGTTGGTTTTAAGTCGGCGACGAAAGAGGCACCGTTTGAATGATATAGGTTAAAATGGATAAAAACCAAGTGTAAGTCGATTTCATACAATAGTTCTTTAAAAGTGCCTCCTCTGTGGGCCTACGAGGAGGATGGTGTTTGGTAGGACTGCCTATCGAACGGTCTTGCCTCAAAAAAAAAAAAACAACAACAAAAACCGCTTGAGCGTGTTCGTCTACGAAACAAACAATACGGCGAAACAACACTAATGGCAGTGAAGCAAACTGACCAAACTACGATACAATGCCTTACCTATTCATCTCGAGTTATCGTAACCAAATCAACGCACAACTCATCTACCAGCCTCTGACTAACCATCGTGACTGTCTCGACTAGCTAAACGCGCACGGGGTGGTTTGGACTTACTGCCGCCCGGGGCGGGCCGTGGTTCTCCTCGTCTTTGTCGCGTCGACGGCGGAGTCTTACCTGGAGGGCCTGGCGGTCCCGGGGGACCCTCGATGATGCCGGTGGGGAACTGGTCTCCCGTCAACGTCGTCGTCAGCCCTCGCTCGCCCTTATCGCCCTTGTCGCCCTGCCAACAGACACAGCACGTCAGCGAACGCACGCCAGCGCAGGCAGCACAGCACAAACAGTTAGACAAAACGGGTTAGTTCAGTCGGGAGGGTGCGGTGTTAGAGGCAGACAGCGGTAAACAGGGGCTCCTACACCTTAGGGGATGAGAACCAAGAAGATAAAAAAGTCGTCAACGACTCCTCGCCACCGAAACGTGAGGCACAGAGGAGACTTACTGGTATTCCTGGCAGGCCAGGCAGGCCGTCTGTTCCGTTCTGGCCGGGAATGCCCTGTGCAAAATTCAGAACGCTAGATCGACATGCGGTACTGGGGCCGTAACATACACAACGGATGAGAATAAATTTTGAAATCACACTGTTTCAATACATTCAGTGGACGTTTACAATTTCGGTGTGACGTTCAAAATTTATTCAAAGTCAAGTTTTCTCACAGGCATTCCTAACTGTCCTGGAATTCCGGGGAAACCTGGTGGGCCCATTAAGCCTGACTGTCCCTGAAACATGAACGGTCCTGTCAAGCCAATGGCTCAATCCCAAACAACCAGCCGGTGCCTGCAAAAACTGAGTCCACATCGAGAAAAAAAATTCACAAGTAGTAAATTAAAAACAATAAAGGTCGCGAGAAACAAGAACAAAATCCAATTTTGCGTGCACTCTTGACGTCACAGTGGTTGGGTTCTCGAGGAACCTTCTGCGTGAGTCCAAAACGAATCCATTTTAGGTGGTGAGGCACACGGGCTAAAGGGTGGCCCGGCTGGGCCCGGCCACGCCAAGGTAAGCCCAGCACTACACCTGCCCAGCCTGCCCAAATCCCCCCGTCCCCATTGGACCGGTCCCAGCCTATTTCTCGGAACAGCCTATGGCGCAGCTCGGGACTGCCCACCCTGTGCTGAATACAAAGTTTTGACGTGACAACGAAACGCAGAACACAAAAATTCTGCCTTTCAGTAACTTTTTTTTAAAATATATATTTTGAGTTTTTTTTCTTTATATAACGTCAAAAGTACACGGCTCAGCTAGCAAGTAGCGTGCTCGGCGCACAGCGTGGCACTCTGTTTATTACTCACCCTGAGTCCCGGTGATCCCGCCGGTCCTGGTGGCCCCACGGGCCCGGCCGGCCCGGCGCTCCCCCGCTCTCCTGGGGGCCCCGACTCTCCCGGCGGGCCCGGCCGACCGTCCTGCCCCGGTAAGCCCTCCTTGCCGACTGGACCCGGTGACCCGGGCGGGCCTGGCTCCCCTCGCTCTCCCTACACAACACAAAGGGACGTATCAGGGACTGCAACTCTGTCGCCGCACTAATACAGGAGGAATAAAATCCAGGTATGTCACTCTGATGAAAGCATGGCAGTATTGACGAAAACTCGGCGACAAACAGAAAGAAGGCGCAGAAACGAGATGCCCATGCAGAGGCATGCATAATACACTGTACGGCCACGGCCTTAAGCATATTGGCATGTGAACCAAAAAAATGGCACCTTATTCATCATGCAACATGCTGAAAACTATTTTGGAGTTGATAATGCAATTTTGAGTCTATAATATCCATTAAGTAAGCAGAGTGTGTTCCGTTCATTGGACCGGTATGATAACAACAACGTTCCCGATAAATACGAAATTTAAAAAGAAATTGAGGGTTAATGGCACTGAATTTCGGGTCCAGTCATTTCAATAGCATCCGTGACAAAGGGCAAGCAGCCTGGATCAGAACCCCGACTCCGTTAACCTTCCCAGAAGCAATCGAAGAAGAACCAGTTTGGACAAGCGAGGTTGACAAGCAGACGAGTGCCGAACGGGGCGTGCTGGGCAGCCTCGTGGCGGCACCTGATTAAGCTGCACTTACTTTGACATAAATGATGTTCTGCGCCGAAATATTGAGCCCCTGCTCTTGCAGTCCCTAAAAGAATTCCACAAAGCTCGTGAATGTTTGGTAGTGAATGCGCTGCCCCTGAGGTTGCAGATCGAAAGTGACCGAGTAGTGAGCGTACCACTACACTAGGCCCACCTAGGGGCGCACGAAGGTGACATAGCTTCTCTCTTTATTTTTAGCAGAATAAATTAAAAGTTGTATATTTGCACAGAATGACGTCGTATGTATTTAAAAGTTGAGAGCTATCTTGGGTTTTATTTCAGACCTATACCGCGGGGTCTGGTAAAACTGCTGATGCAATTTGGAGACACTGAGGCAATGTGTTGGGTTTGAACGAAACAAATAGATGAACAGCAGCGTTTTTAGATCGCACAGTCCTCGGCAATTCAGCTACACATTTAAAAAAATTAACAACACATCACTGACGTAAGAGGCAGGCCACTCCTGGTACAGGATCTAGTTCTTCGTGCAATACATCGTACTCAAGCAAAACAAAAATGTTTACGTCTGACCAACACCAAAACACACAAATCCCTAACAGGTCAGCCACTACAAACATAAAACTAAAGTAAAGAAAAAGTAATAAAATTATTTTAAAACATAGCAAACCAAAGAAAAACAGGAGACTAAAAAGGAGGAGTGCCATACTGCATTTCCAAGGAAAATCAATAGGAAAATAGAATTTTAGGTGATTAAAACGTGCCCACAGATATAGGATTATTGACAGCTTCCAAGTGTTTACAGTGTCCCTAAAGCAAAGTTTCGAAGTCCTACTAGTTCCAGCATAGTATTATGTAAACAAGATAGTACGCTACACCGAAGACCATTTGCAAATTAAAGAAAACGACCGGAAAATTTGTGCATGCCAGTGAATAGAGCCCTGACAAATAGAAACGTGAGAAAATAATCAATTGGGTCAATGGAAGCAAACAAAGGATAAAATAGCAGGAGTTATTTTGATGTAATCGCAATTTTCTTAGGGCTACAATGGGAACTTTAGGGAAAACCTGCGCTACGAAACTAAATATCCACCTCTATACGCGCACATCAAATGGTGCGAACAAAAGTACACCGTACGGAGCCACGCAGATTCCGAAATTTTGCCTGAGGAGACTTCCACCTTTCTTTATTTTATTTTTAGTGTTTGTTCTTACTGACATAAATGACGTATATTTAAAAGGCACGAGTTAATTTACCAATTTAAACAAATTATACATCCACAGACAGAAAGGACAGCAGCTCTCCCAACAGCTAAGGAGACAAAAGTAAACCACCAGCCAACCAAAGAGGAACAAATGAAGAAAACCAAGCATGTGTGAATAGGAGGGCATCACTGCCTCCTGTCTCCATACCTTCACCGCAACGATTTCGGCGTATCCTAATGTTCCTCCACGGAGAGTTGTCACTGAACGCTTCAGCCCCTACAAATATTGCAAGTTTACAGCAAAATTCCTCCATTTCAAATTACAAAATGTCTAAATGAGTCTTTCCATCCAGAAGGCTGCAACAGTTTTGCTAAGGGACTGGAGAGGACGTGGAGACAAAAAAGTGATTAATTGTTTGATAATTACCTTGACGGCAGCGTACATGTCAAATGCCGGCCCACCGGCGTCTCCTTTGGAACCCTTCTCCCCCGGAGCGCCCTGGAACACATCAAAGAGTTTGTCACACACCAAATTTTGCAACGTCTACAATAACAATTAGAAAAAGGAAAAAGAAAGGCAGAGAAAGTGGTCTAAAATTGATGAAGAAAACGTTTTTAGTTATTGAGACACTATTGTAAGAAGCGGCATCGAAGAGCACGTGCACAACGTATGTTAAAAGCTGGCACATGCAATGAACTTTTGTATATTGGTTCACGGCTCAGAGGTTTCTCATTCCTGACTTACCGGATCACCCTTGGGGCCGTCCAAGCCGATTGCACCCTTAAAGAAACAAAAAACGACTCTCAGTCAAGCTAGGGAAGCAGGCCTCTCGAGATCGAGGACGTGGCGTAGCAAACTACCATTTTCCAAAGTAAGCATCAGGTTAAAACAGAAAAGAAATGGAAATCAGAAACCAATCATTTAAGTCCGCAGGCTAGCGTCTTTATTTCGATGTTTTACAAAAACTACTAAATTATGTTCAAAGAATTAATGAGAAGACACTTTGGGAAGCGGAGTCAGAACCGAGTAAAGACAGATCAGTAAGTGAGTTTACGGTCCCAAGCATAAAAGCCACCTCAATTTAATTTGTGTCACTACGAAATAATTTTTATGTTTTTAACCGTCACTGCCCCTTTTATTCTTGTTAGTGGTTAAACAGGCGCCAAGTCGTGTTACTAGAGCGACAGCCGCTCGGCGTGCGATGCTACAAAGCTGAACCTCGCACTACGAGGATTAGTACTAGAGCAGTAGTCCCCTTTCGCAAGATATTGTATGCTGTCCGCGACGACGCTTCAAGACAACAGCTTTGGCAAACTCCCAGCAGCCGCCAAGCCGAGGCCCCGCCCCTTTCATGTTGGCCGGAGAATGACCACACCAGCATAAATCCCCCGCGTGTCTGCCGACGTGTGCCGAGGCGCCTTTGTTTGTTTTGCTGACCTGCCCCACCCCACCCTCAGGCAGCGCCATCGAGAAACGGCCAGGGCTTTTAGGAAGAGGGGCGAGCGAGTAAAGATATTTCAAAAAGGTAAACTACTTCATTTGTGTGTCTACTCTACAATCTCATCTACAATATTACGTTATGGCTGTTTGATTCAAATGACATCTATCATGTCATTGAATGTTTTCTAGTGCACCTACTACAGCTTAAGTCTTACCCCATATCCCCTATCTCCTTTGGGCCCCTTTGAGCCCTGGAAACAAGGTTCAAATCAAAACGTGTTACGGCGTGCGATTACAATACTCGTTTCAACACAACCACAAACTTTTTCACACCGAACCCAACCAAAACCAGTTAGTGAGCCTTCCTAGGATGAACATGCAAATCTTGTTAACGCAATTAGTAACTATCATTGAGTAAATTTAAGTAGTGTTCAGCTGGTCATTACCGGGAATCCACTGTTTCCAGGCGTTCCCTGGAAAACAAAACGAAGGGGCACGTTAGCCAAGTGTAGAGTTCACAAGTTACAGTAAGTCTTTTTTTTTTAAAGGGGACACTTACCGGCGTCCCCTTGGCTCCAGGAATGCCCTGAAACAGTGAAAACGCGCCATAACATTTTACAATTCCAAAGAAAACTACAGTCAGTAGTGAAAGATTGTAGATCGTGTCGTACTCACCTTCTTCCCTCTTTTCCCAGGAGGCCCTTGTGGTCCAGGGGGTCCTGCAACAAACAAACAATTCATTATTAAGTTGAAAATATAACGAAAGGGTTCCAGGTTGGCTATCCTTTGGTGTCCGCTTTATCATTAATAGAATTTTCAACACACAGGCACCAAATATGCAGTGTTCAGGCGATCCATTTTGCAGTGCAGCCTAAGCAGGCTCTGTGGGGATTGAGGTGATAATGGCGAGGGAGGGAGGGGTGCGGCAAGGGCTCTTCGCACTACAGCTAGTGGTGGCGAGAGTTCTGGGCAATTATGAGGGACAAATTGCCCTCGACGGATTAAATTTATAGGTATGGATAAGAGGCACGGCACCCAGCAGGCCTCTGCCATGAATTTTAATCTCCCCTCAAGTGTACAAAGTTTTTCCCTAACGAGTCTGGTGCTCCAGGGCTTTCGTTACGACCCAGATCAAGGCCTCCACTCCCTCTCTGGTATCATCTCTCCTCGGCCGGACCAGTCGCCGGGTGAGACACGGCGGGAGGAGGCAGCTGGGTTGGGGAATGGAGAGAAGGCCGGGTGGAGGACAGGGTCAGGTGCAGGTCGACCCGTCCCGGGGCTGCAGGTGCCTCATCGCCTCACTTTGCCTGACACTGGGTTCCGGACGAGTCCCGGACGACAAGCAATCCCCCCGAGTGCTTTGAGCCGCCTATGAAAACGCCAACTTGGCTACTGTACTTTGAAGCCTGCCTTGAGACCTGTTCGCTGTGCGAGGCCAAGTGCGAGGCGGTCTTAGTCGCGCTGGCAAAGGGGCCTCGCCGTGGGAGCGCGCAGGCGGAGCAGAGTTCTCGGGGACAAGAGCGGCAAAACGGCACGAGTTGATAAGCAGAGCAAAGCCGAGGCACGGCCCCGCATTCATCCCCCTCGAGCTTGCTGCAAGCCAACAGCACTGGCAAATCACCACTCCAGGATGCAGTCGGCATGCAAGCAGAGCCCAAGCAGAGCGCACACATCAATCAGGAACACATTAGGACGCGCGCTCGCTCTCTCCCCTGCCGACTTCACTCTCTCTCTGTCTGTCTTCCCCACGCACACACACACACATACACAAGTGCGCGCAGAAACGCCCTGAATCGAATGCCTTCTCGGCTGCATCAAGTGGCCGCTCGGAAGTGGCACGGCGCAGCACGGCACAGCCGGGGCAGGTGATTCAAGGGACACTGCAACAGGTGGGGGTCACGCGGCGCACCACGACGCAGCGCCCGCGGCCGTTCCGATACGACGCGCCCGCCCCCGCGTCAGTCACACACACTCACTCACTCACACACACACACTCACACACACACAAGGTTAGATTACGTTTCCCTTCCACACCCGCGCGCCGAAAACGTCGACGCCAGCTCGCGATCCGGGTCGGCTGGTGCAAATTCGCAAATTGGCTGCGCGGGGCCCTGGGGGACATCAGGGTCATCAGGGTGGCGCGAGACGACGTCGACATCGCGGACGCATCAGGAGCAGCGGGTGGCGGGCGGCGGCATCCCGGCCCAACTTGGCGGCCACCTTGGCGTCGTCGACGAGTTTCCAACGCGACCCGAGGCGATAATGCGTCCCGGAGCGATATCCGATGGCGCGGCGGTCTCTCGCAGGGACGGTCGCAGACGCCGCTTCCCTTACCGGGAGGGCGTCCGCAGCGGCCGGCGTGGGGCCACTGTAAAACCAAGTGTGGAGGGACGCCACTCTTGAAATGCGTGAGCTTTCAGTCTCACACTTGAAAGTGCACAGTTTGCAGCTGCAGTCTGAGTTTGCAGACGTCTCTCCACTTGAAGTGTAGAGACTGCGCAAACTCCACACATCAAAGTGTAGAGACTTACTCCGCACTAGGAAGTGTGGAGCTGGCCACACTTGGTATCACGGTGCAGAACGCTCGCGAGGACGCTCGCAGACGACGCCTTCCCTAACCAGAAGGGCGTCCACTGCGGCCGGGGTGGGGCCGAGGGCGGGGCGGCGGGGCGCACCCTCAAGACTGACAGGCAAGCGCCTCTCCCCTCCAGGAAGCGGAAAGCCACACCGTGTTGACAAAGAAGAAAGGAAGGAGGTGAAAAAAATTGGCATCCGGCCCCGCCCCTACCGCGCGAAAAAAAAAGTAATAGCGGTGGACTATTTCTTAAGATTGTTTGCAAACAAAACGCCATCGGTGGCTTGTGATTGGGTGGACTAGCCCCGAGATTTGCTGGTTTCTGAGCGACGCTTAACTAGCGGTAAAAGAACTCGCGTTCCCAGACGACGACATCCAGCAGAACGTAGCAACTGTCTGTTTCCTGGATGTGTGATTCGCCGAACACACGCTACTTTTGTTAACACGGGAAATGAGTGAAGGGGATCGCCGCGGGCCGAGTGTAGCGGCAAAGCGAAGCCAAAAAAAAAGAAGAAAAAACCTGTGGCAAAGCCGGCATGGCCCCGAGGCAACGGACAGCCTTTTAATTAATGGACTGCTTCACACCCTCACAGGGGGAGGGGGCGCGTCCATTGGCTTCGTTGCGCGCAACAGTGACGGAATCGATTTATCGAGCGAGACACCAATCTGCACACACGTTCCGCGGGAAACTGACACGCACACTGTGAATGATGTCAAGCTACACCGTCATTTTAAGTGTCCACTTCTCTACACGTGGTTTCAAAGGCGCAGCTGCTTATGATCCGATCCGATGTTTCCTGGTGTCGAAACTGTCGTCACCTACCTGAACACCAGACCACCGAAAGTTCCCCTCCCCCCTCAATTCCAAGAGGTGGCCACAGCAAAAGGTCTCTTTCGTGCTTCCGAACGGCGAGACCGTTACCGTTTCCAGTGTCTCGGGTGATGAGGCACATTAAAAAGGCCTGTGGGAATCCATACCGTGTAATTTCATTATCGGTCGATACAAGCTGGCTTAAGTTTCAGCACGCCGGGGCACACGCAACGGCGAAGGCGCGCGCCGCACAGATGGGGCCACATATTGAATTTAAAATGATATATCAACGAAAAATACATCATGTCATTAAATATTCGATATTCGGATCTCGTTTTCGAGCCGAGCTCACCGCGCCCGTCAAAAGCAGCTGGGTGCGAGAAGGTATTTAGTCATGGTCTCCAAGTTTGAACGCATGTTTCAAAGTCTATACTCTGGCGCCTCGCAACCCACCGAGTGCTTCCGCGGGGAGTGGTTTCGTGACTCTGTCTCGGCCGCACTCATGGGGCTCTCCGTGAGGGTGCGAGAGAGACAGAGCAACAAAACGATCATCTGAGTCGTTCGACTGAGCACAGCCAACGTCACGGGGGTGTCGCGCCATGGCGGTGATCGACAGGCTTCTTTTCCTTTCATCAAGGCGCGTGTCTGCGAGCCGGGCCAGGCCCGCCACCTGGGAGCGCCACAGCTGTCGACAAACATTTTCAAAAGGGCGTGCATTCTTCTCGTCTTTTTTGCCGGGGGTGGGGGAGGCTTGCCCGTCCAGGAACGACACCGCGGCGTGTCGGCGTGAGGCGTGGTGGCCGAGGCACGCCAACGGACGGCGGGGCCGGCGGGGCTCCGTGTTGTGGCTGCGGTGCCTCGGGCAGCCTCGGGCCTCAGATTGCCTTCTTTAGGGGCCGGCACGCCGCGGCACGCCAGAGGCACACCCAAGGCACGCGTGGCGCCGTACACCGCGCGACCGGCCCCAGGGCGGGGCGGGGCGGGGCGGGCCCACAGCCACCCTGGGGCCTGAGCCGGCCGGCCACCCTAAGCGCCCCTAATGAAGAGTGCGAGCTGGGCCTGGGGCTGCACCCTCCCCCTTCCCCCACCCCTCCCCCGCCGCGCCACCCCGAGAGCCGAGCGGCGCCGCGCGGCGGGCGGTCCGGGGGCGGTCCGGGGGCGGTCCGAGGGGCGGCGGGGGCGGTCGCACGCGGGGACAATTAAACACTTACAGCGCCCGAACGGCCCGAACGGCCGCGGCGGCGACCGACTTGCGGCGAATTCACAAACACGGCCGGACGCAATGGCCGCTTGCGGTGGCGTGGCGGCCGCACGCCCGGTTCCAGCCACTGCTTGCAGCTACTGGTTCACTGGTTCCAGCCAGTGTGTCAAACAACCAGCCGCCCCACCGCACCATGCACACTGCATACACGGCCGCAGCATGGACCCGCGGACAACAGGCGCTTCATAGAGCACCCCCGCCCCTCCAGCCGGGAAGAGAGAGAGAGAGAAGAGAGAGAGAGAGAGAGAGAGAGAGAGAGAGAGAGAGGCGGGGTGGAAGTGGCGATGACAGCCTCCAGGTGGGCGATGCGCGCCGCCCTGCCGTCGCGCCGCTCTCTCTCTCTCTCTCTCTCTCTCTCTCTCGCCCTGCTATTGCTACGTTTCCTGTCGCCGCTGCTCGCGTGCTCTGTCTCCCTGTCTCTCTCGCTCTCGGTAAGTTCGTTAAGTTGCAAAAGTAATTGAAAGTTTTGGCGCCCGTATATAGAGGTCGAAGAAGAAGAAGTAGAAGTGCAAGAAGAAGAAGAAGAAGAAAAAGAGGAGGAGGAGGAGGAGGAGGAGGAGGAGGAGGAGGAGGAGGAGGAGGAGGAGGAGGAGGAGGAGAGGAGGAGGAGGGAGGAGGAGGAGAAGGAAGGAAGAGGAGGAGAGGAGGAGGAGGAGAAGAAAAGAAAGAACAAGAAAGAAGAAGAAGAAGAAGAAGAAGAAGAAGAAGAAAGCAAAAGACGGAGGAGGAGGAGAAGGAAGGAGGTGCTGAGCTAGTTTAGTGGAGGGATAAGTGTTTGTCGGGCGGGTGCGCGAGGAACGGCGGAATCGAAAGGCCATCAGCAAATCAGCCTCCAGCCGGCTGCAGCCCTCCAGCCCTCCAGGCGCCTCCAGGCGCCGCGACATGTGCGGGGCGCCGGCCCGGCGGCACGCCCACGTTTGTAAAAGAGGGCCATTTGGCAATCCGAGGAAAGGAAACGCGATTGGAAATGGTCGCGCCAGCCGCCAGCCCCTTCGCCCCGCCCCTCTCCACGCACCCCCCCCGCCGCCTGTTCGCCGCCTCGCCACCGCGGCAAAAAAAAAGATAAAAACAG